ATTTATTTATTTATTTTTGGCTGCGTTGGGTCTTCATTGCTGCGCGTGGCCTTTCTCTAGTTGCGGTGAGCGGAGGCTACTCTTTGTTGCGGTGCGTGGACTTCTCATTGCGGTGGCTTCTCTTGTTGCAGGGCACGGGCTCTAGGCGTGCCAGCTTCAATAGTTGTGGCACGTGGGCTCAGTAGTTGTGGCTCGTGGGCTCTAGAGTGCAGGCTCAGTAGTTGAGGCACATGGGCTTATTTGCTCCACGGGATGTGGGATCTTCCCGGACCAGAGCTTGAACCTGTGTCCCCTGCATTAGTAGGCAGATTCTTAACCACTGCGCCACCAGGGAAGCCCTAGACGTTCATTTTAAAACATAATATGTACAAATGCCATAGCCTCTTTGGACTTGGGTTCCAACTAAAGAAAGCCTATTGCACAGGAGGAACTTGATCGATGTTTGTTGAATAAATCGACTTTAATTTTTACTGCCATTTATTTACCCTCCTTTATTCCTATCATACCCTGTTTTTTTTTTAATCTGAGTGACCTCAGAACAGGCTATCTTTAAGTGTTCTCTTTATCCTTTTCCTCAACAAGAACGAATTTCCCTAGTGTTTCCTTCCTGTACCTCTTGTTAACCCCTGACAACTGCATGTTTACCTTTTTCTTTCCACCTGAAAGTCATCTTAATTTTCTACTTTCCCTCCAGAAGTTCCACTTCTCACTGTCTTCTCAAATTCCACAGCAGTCATTTCCGTGGCTGTTACTGTCTCAGCATTCTCTCTCTTGCTCTCTCTCTCTGTAGTGTTTTGGTTTAGGTTTCTGGCTCTTGTGGCTAGCCAGTCTCCTTTTTATGGTGAAAGATTCTTGGATGGTTTACATAAATACTCCCTTTTGTCCCACCATATTTGTAAAATTCAATTTAGAGAGAGACAGAGACAGAGAGAGAGAGAAAAAGAGAGAGTGTGAGTGCACACTCATGCACACATGAGCACTTATCTCTTGGGGTAACATACTGAAGTATTTCTAGATGAAATTATTTAAGGTTTGGGATTTGCTCTAAAATAATCCAGAAGAAAAGAGGGAAGAGGGAGAAAAAAAAAAGTGGCAGTGGGAGGTGGAGGGGCGTGTTACGGATAAACAAGATTGGCTGCATTGTTGAAGTTCTGTGACGGGTACCTGACAGTTCAGTATGATATTCACTCAATGTTTTTGTAAGTTTGAAATTTCCATAATAAAAAACTCAATTAAAGTCTGTTGATTAAAGATCTGCATGGGAGTCATTGAGCTCCACAGCCAGCACATTTTTTCTTCCTGTACATGACCTCATCCCCAGCACATCCCTCGCCCCCCACTGAGCCATTTCTAAACTTTCCATATTGGTTTGTTGGCTTGCCAACTTCCCTTTGTCCTAAGAGCTCCTGGTGGGCAAGGGCTAGTGTCTTACTCATCTTGGTAGTGCCTAGGATACAGCCTGTTGAACTGAGGAGGAATGAGCTAAATTACCTGTCAGTAAACCCCCAGCCCTTCACTGACGGATGCCCCCTCCCCCATCGTCCCGGCTTTTGCTGGGTCTGTGACCACATATAGGGACTTCTAACTGCGTGGGGTCACAGCCCATTGGTGCAGGGCTGCATTCCCCAGGAGGGAGAGGGAACAGCCCCTTTGGCTTTCTACATGCGCAGCCCTATCACCACAAATTTCTCTTATCAGCCTGGCTCCTCTTCAAGATATTTCCAGTCATTCCAAGACAGTCTCCAGGATAATTCCAGTTTCCTTTCAGATCTGGAGTTCACATCTAACTTCTTCCTATGATTCAGTGATTCAAGTGACTGCAATTGTGGGCCTAGGTTAATGTGCGGGTCCTCACTGCCTAGTGTCCTTTTGAGCAGCCTCTCTTCACCTGCAATTCACCTTCTGTCTCAGGACACAGAGAATGTCGTCCTTTTCTCTTTGCATTTCCTTGGGGCGGTTGGCCCTCATATCACCCTCTGGAAACGCAAATGTAGCAGTGCTGCCATCTCTGCTTCCCATGTGTCTTATCCTCCTCCCCAGTTTCCTCCCTGCTGTCATCTAGCCCAAACCTTCAGCTTTCCTATTCTAGGTTCAGCTTATATCATCTCTCATAGTTCTCTGCAACTACTACAGTTCTGGTAGCTTCTAGGACAATTATCCTGGTATCACCTTGCTCTCAATACCCTTTAAATGGCTTATTACAAATCCCTGTGTCCATTTTGTCTTCTTCCCATTATGCCATTCCGAGGGTTCAACTGAGGGGTCAGATGTTCTTATGCTTGTATGACAAGGATCAGAAAGGCTGAGTGGCTTCCTTGAGGTTTATGACCTAGTAAGGGTCAGAAGTAGAACCCCAGTTTCCTTATCACAGTCCAATGTTATACCTAGTACCCACCATCTGGCTTATACTTTGCTACTGTCCCCTGGGAAGTGATGGCTGACCTTGAACTTCTGTGCATTTATTTGCCTTGCAACATTTACCTTTTTGGAATATTTCTGACAATAGTCCCAGAGGACAGGGAACTGAGCTAAGCCAGCGTGGGGTGGTCAGGACTAACTGCCTTATTGATTCATGCTGGCACTGACTGAAGCTGGATATTGTCTCAAACAGTTCTCTTAATCCTGAAAAAGAGCCAAACAATGCAGGAGAGGGGGTGGGGTGCAACGTCATGACCACAGGGCCTTCGCCAGGTGCCTTTGGATTTCCAGGAATCAGAGACAGTCTTGGCATCAGGTCATACTCCAAGGGCTGTCAACCTGTAAAATGATGGGCTGGAGTGCTGACCCCTTACTTGGGTAGAGAGAAATGCTGACTGTTGGATAGCATTATTAGTTAGAGGTGCAGAATGGTGGAACTATGAGTGGCAGCTAACTTCCGTGGGAAAAAAATGTGGTTGTCACGTACTGTCACCTGAGGATGCTCTTGGCTATTCACCTGTGAGCATATGAAGTGTAAGTGTGTGCGTGTGTGTGTGTGTGTGTGTGTGTGTGTCGGAGGGCAGAAGAGCTAGAGCAGGTTTCCCTCTCACCTCCACCTCCAGTTAAAACCAACTTCTATACCCCAACCACAGTGTCCTGTAGCATCAGGGCCCCTCAGTTCTAGAGCATCAACTTTGTGGGAGGCCCTGAGTAAATCTCCCCTTGAAGCTAGAATTCTACTTTCCGACCTTGATTGCTTTGCAGAAGAGAATATGTCTGTAATAAATCTAATACTTTCATTTTCCCTCACCAAACCTTCAAAACAAACTATGTATTTATGTGGGAAACTGGAAAAGACATTTCACCTCAAGTGAAAACTTGAGCATGTTATACAAACACACTGAGAAGAGTCACTCCTTACGTTTGCATAGAATGTTGGCCTAACCTTTGCCTTCAAGGAGAACTCACTGTGGGTGGAACCACTCGGTCTGCATCCAGGGAGGTGGAGTGGGTAGTCCAGTATTCTAGATTCTCCACTTATTCAACAAAATTACACACGTAAACATCAATGGGATCCTGACTAGGACCAAAATGAGGCCCAGGAATGAACTGGATTTGCAATTTTGGATGCTTTATTACCTAAAGTCAGAGAGAAGATACAAAAGCTGTTTTATTTACCAAGAAAGTGCACTAGGCCTGTGGAAAGCTGGTCCTTTTTGCTAAGCTCTCAGATATTAGAGGCAGTTGGCTAGACGGCTGTGTTTTACATCCCAGCTTAACATTTTCGAGGCTGCTGAATAATGTAGATCCTTTTCAGTGGAGTGACCTTCTCCAGAGCAGGTCTGGGTTTTTGATGTGCCATGTGCATTATTGCTGGAAATTTATGGCTGAGCTAAAGGTGAGGAGGAAAGAAAAAAATGAGCATATTGGATCTTTTTGGTCATAAAGTATTAAAGTAGGTAGAAAATAAAACAGCTGGTCAGAGGAATTTCACAGTTTTGTTTACTTCTTTGATAGTATCTTTTTTTCCCATAGCACCTCTAGCTCTGTATCCATGGATATACTTGTTAACCTGGGTTTTCCCTCGTTAGTGTGTTTCTAATTTTTTAAAATTATAAAATATATTATATATAGGATAATTATATAAATTATATATATATATATATATATATAATGTTTTGAAGTGACATTTTTAAAGGTAGAAATATCTTCATCAGTCCTCCAATATTAGAAATTATTCTGGCACTACTATGCATATACGGAACACTATATGCTAAGAAGGCTATGGGGACATTGAAGAGGGTCCTGGGGTGGGGAGGAAGAACGCCTCAGATGCCAGAAGATCAGAAATAAAGAGCCTCTGAAAGAAGTTAGGGGATGTTTAGGTTGAAGTACGTGAAACTGGCCATTTTATAAGGTTCAAATAAACAGTCTGGGAAAGAGAAGGCTGAGGAATGACTTATTAGCTTCAGGTAACAAAAGTTCTCACTAGTCATCTCTGCAGAAGACATCTATGAGGAAATGAGCTTAAACAGATTGAAATTAACACAGACTGAGAATTTGACAGTAAGAGGAATTTCATATGGAACCAAGAGACCTTATGGAATTTACATTAAGGACAGCTTAAGATGGGAAGGATGCCCAATGTTGCAAGTCTTTCAGGCATAGTTTTCCGAGGAGAATTTGGACCCAGAGGCCTTTCGGTTCCATTCCAGTTCTTGGTTTTCAAGCCCACTGATTCAATATAAAGGTACTTAAGAACACCTTCCCTAGCCAGCAAGGAAGGGATGCCTCAGCTCACTAGGAATTTAATTTATCACTATTGAACTTAGATGCCCTTGCCTCGACACTCAAATAAAAGGGGAGATAAACTTTCATGACCCCAAACATCACACTGTTTATGGTTTGTTTGGGCTCTTCTAAGCCAGGGAAAACATATGTTTCTTACATCACTTCTCAAATGTCCCTGAGCTCTGAGCACACAGCATTCCCTTTCATGTGAAACTTGGCTCCAGAAAGTTCTTTCTTCTTGGTCTTAAACAAATTAAACATACTGGAAGAATATACACTGAAGTGTTAACAATGATTATCTCTGAGGGGTAGAATTATGGGCAATTCCTAGTCTTTTTCTTTACTTTGTCTTTGTTTCTCTAAAAGTTTTCTTTACAATGAGAAGGTAAAAGTTATGTAATAATTAAACCCAAGGACGGTCTATGCTGGCATTCTAGTACAAAGGAAGAAACATAATTGAGGTATTGGTTATAAGTATTACTTTATAATCTAACAAAAGAGCTGCTGATTTATTGTTTTGTCAGATCAGATATCATTGGGCCACATGACATACATTTTATAGTGTGGTAAGGGCAGAGTGTTTTGTTTCGTTTTTCTTTTAACGTTAGAACCAGAAGGAAACTTAAGAGGTCATTGACTTCAGTAGTTTTCTTCCAGACTAGGTGTCTTTAGCGTCAACTAAAACAGATGGATTATTTCAGGTTAGCTCTAAATCACATTCAAGAGATTACAGGTAGGAAGACCTACTTGGCAAGTTACTTAAAGTCAAATGTAAGGTAAAGGGGGGTGGGAAAGGAAACGAACAAATAATTCTGATATAACAGAAAACTGGGCGATTAGCCAAGGTGAGATGGATGGGGCAAGATGACAAGGTGAGAAAGAAGAGAGAAAACCACAATGTTGATTGTTGCTCTTAAGGTGTCAGAGTGATGATGGGTGGAGGCGGGAAAGGAAAGGGGAGAGGAGAATGGTGTGTGAGGATACACTTATCGCTTAATTTGGCACTAACTCATTATTTGATCATTTCCAGGGTTATCTCCACAATTCAGGAGCTACCTTTTTTGATCATTTAAAAACTTGCGATACAAAGAGGGAAGAGATATGGGAACATATATATATGTATAATTGACTCACTCTGTTATAAAGCAGAAACTAACACACCATTGTAAAGCAATTATACCCCAATAAAGATGTTAAAAAATAAATAAATAAATAAATAAAAAATTGCGATAAAATACATAAAACATAAAATTTACCATTTCAACAATTTTCAAATACACAGGTTAGCAGCAATACATACACTTACATTGTTGTATAGCCATCACTACCATCCATCTCCAGGACGTTTTCATCACACCAAACTGAAACTCTGTACCCATTAAAGAATAATCCCTCATTACCTCCTCTGCCAGCCTTTGGTAACCACCATCCTACCTTCTCTCTCCGTGAATCTGACTATTTCATGTACCTCATAAATGTGAAAGCAGGTAATACTTGTCCTTTTGTGTCTGGCTGATTTCATTTAACATAATGTCTTCAAGATTTATCCATGTTGTAGTATGCGTCAGAATTTCCTTCCTTTTGAAGGTTGAATAATATTCCATTGCATGTATATAGACCACATTTTGTTTATCCATTCATATGCTGATGGACACTTGGGTGGCTTCCATCTTTTAACTATTGTGAATAATGTTGCTATGAATACTGTTGTACAGATATCTCTTCAAATTTCTGCTTTTAATACTTTTGGCTATATATTCAGAAGTAAAATTGTTAGATCATACAGGAATTCAATATTTAATTTTTTGAGGAACTGCCATATTGTTTTCTATAGTGGCTACACCATTTTACATTCTCACCAGGAATGCACAAGGGTTAGGGGCTACCTTTCAACTAAGGCATTTAACTGAGGTTGTAAAAGCTCTGCTGAGCTGCTTCTCAAAAGAGGAATGCCACAGATCAGAATGAATGGGAGACTGCCCCTAGGGGCTGTTGGCCATCTGTGAACTGGTCTGGCAAAATTTAGGGGGAAAAAAATCAACAGGATTGAGAAAATAGTGGAAACAATTCTGGCAAGGATAACAGCCTTAGATAAACTGCCCATAATTATTAAATTACAAATGTACAAGTTGCAGAGGGTAAGGGCTTTATAGGGACAGGTGAAAACACAACCAGAGAGTCAAATTCTCTTTCTCAAATACCCCACCCACTCAATCAGGAGCATCCTAATATAGAAAAACTTGGGGGTTGTGGGTGGAGAGTCTACAAAGGGTCTACCTTCAGATGATGGAACTGTAAATAATAGTCAATCATTAAATGCCCTGATTCTTTCCTGTAGATTTTAAACCAATGGAGATAGGAACATTTTATATTCAAGTCCAGACTAGAAATAAGTAGGAATAGCTTTCTAACCTACAACCTGTGCTTTAGTCTGACATCTTAACTTTGGGGACACTTTGGATTTTTCATCATTAATCTTTGTAAAATGATAGGGTTTGTAGAATGAAAGGTGTTTGTCTGACTCATTAGGGTAAAAGAATCTAGGTTAACCCCACAAGAGAAAGAAGGATATGTGTAAGGATTCTTCCTGGCTCTGGCTCCATCCCATAAGGGGCAAAATATTGAACTTGAAAAGCAGATCAATAGAAACTTCCACATTGAGAATTTACCTTCATTTTTGGTAGTTGTGACCTCAGAGCCTACATTTTTCGTTTCAGAGAAAAAGTCAAAGAAGTATATGGTAAAAGTCTTTATGATTAGAGCTATGAAAGAAGTTCTAGAAATTAAAAAGTCAGTGGCAGGTTTTGTTTTAGAGCCTGAAGTCAGGTGGTATTAGAAGACTGGCAGCTCTTCCATTCATCTTTGAAGGGTGTTAACTTCCAACCTGAATGCTGGCACTTAGATTTCCACACCCCGTTAAGCAAAGTGCTTAAAACAAAACATTCAGCTTGAGTCAATGAAACTCAAGGATCATCCTACACAGAACAAGAGAAACCTTTTTAGATTTGCAGATGCCTTTGATAGTTTCCTTTCCCCCAGGATCCCATTTCACATACATCTCACTAACTTTGGCCCTGGTGACATAGCTGGCAGCTTGAAAAGTGGCCCCAATTTAACTAGGCTTCAACATTCCACCCCCGTCTGCACTATAACCCAGCCCCGTTACTAATGGTTTAACTGGATACTTTTATGTTGGGAGAAGCTTCACAACTATTGCCAAACTTAACTTCTGTAACTATCGAGAGAATGAATATATTTGGCAGTAATATTCTCTCTCAGTCCTTGCCTTAAAATAATTAAGTAAACGAGCAATCGTAGATCTCAGGGGAGCTACGTGACTCTAAGGGGTAGATGGAACTTGGTCTAAGACCAGGTCTCCTAGATTTTTATCTTAGAGAGCTTTGGGGTTACACAACCCCTCTTCTGCAGGAATAAACACATGATGTGGCCTGTCAGTGGGCAACATGAATTCTCTCAGTATTTAGGGCTGTTAGAGGTGGGAAAGACTGACTAGAGAAGAAGGGAGGGTCCTACGTACCTAGAAAGGTAGTGGGGAGTGAAGTCTGTGTGCAGATGAGTGGGGGACAGAGTGGGAGGGAAAATTTTAGGCTGCTTCCCACTTAGATTTGTACAATTCCAACCTCTTGGGAACTGTTTTCCAATCTCCCAAATCTTAAACCCTTGGTTGGCTTTAAAGTAGGGTATCCAGACATGATTGGCATAGAAATTTCCTGCCATGATTGAATGGTTGCTGAGCTCCTATGAATAGGGCTATAACTGTCACTGTTTTGGACTCTAAGTTCTTAAAATGGTATGAGAATTAACATGGGTTCTAGGAACTAGACATAATTCTAGCTGAGGGCATGAAGGAATGTTAATAAATGCAGAGGCTATGACCCTCATTTCTGCTACTATATTTCTTCTGGCCAGTTGTATATTGTTAGATCTTCATGACAATATATATTGTTGGAAAAATCATTGTAATGCAGATGAAAATTTATCATCAGATATCTATCTCTCTCTCTATATATATTTTTTAATAAATTAATTTTATTTATTTTTGGCTGTGCTGGGTCTTCATTGCTGCACACAGGCTTTCTCTAGTTGCGGAGAGCAGGTGCTACTCTTCCTTGTCGTGCGTGGGCTTCTCATTGTGGTGGCTTCTCTTGTTGTGGAGCACGGGCCGTAGAGTGCGCAGGCTTCAGTAGCTGTGGCATGCGGGCTCAGTAGTTGTGGCTAGTGTGCTCCAGAGCACAGGCTCAGTAGCTGTGGCGCATGGGCTTAGTTGCTCCGTGGCATGTGGGATCTTCCCGGGCCAGAGCTCGAACCCGTGTCCCCTGCATTGGCAGGTGGATTCTTAACCACTGCGCCACCAGGGAAACCCTAAATCTCTATATTTTATATGTCTTATTTCTTTATATTAGGCTGTATAGGTATGCATTTCTTTTAATTAAATTTATTTATTTATTTTTGGCTGCGTTGGTTCTTCGTTGCTGCTAGTTATGCGTTTCTTTTCATTAAAAAAATAAGGTATAATTTATCTACAGTAAAATAGATACCCTCTTTAGTGTTTAGTTCTATGGGTTTTCACAAGTGCATACCATCTGTGAACACCACCACAGTCAAGATATAGAACCGTTCCTTCACCCCCTAAAATACCCTCCTGTCACTTTGTGGTCAACCCCTCCTCCCACTCTCTGGCAACCACTGATCTCAGCAGATCTGTTTCTTAAAAGGCATTGGTCTTTCCACCCCAGGTTGACCTTTTTTATTATGAAATCCTACTATGCTTCAGGTTGAATTATGGATTCAGGCAAGATTTTTCTTAGCTGTAAGGGGTCATGTGGATCCCACCGACTTCCATATTCAAGACCGTGACTTATGGTAATCTTGGGACTTGATTTTATTGCTGGCCTCTTATCCTTTGCCTGGATTCCAAGTGATGCCCTGTAGGATATCTCCCTGGGAATAGAAGCTAACACTTACTGCGGGCTAACTGTGTCTGGCTCTGTGCTGAGTCCTTTGCACATGTTCTATACCTTCATTTTATTCTCACAACATCTTCGTGAAGTGGATACTATAAACCACATTCTCGTTTACATGTGAGGAAACAGAAGCACAGAGAAGTGAAGAAACCTGCCCAAAGACACACAGCTAGCAAGTGTCGGAGTCAGCATAGGACCCAGGCACCTGATATCTGACGCCAGAATGCCAGAACCTGTTCTAACCAGTAATCTATGCAGTCTTAGCCACAGACCTATGCCAGTAGACATGGAGCTAAGTGTTAAAGCGGCTTTAAAAAAAAAACAGATATAATTGCTGTTAAAAATATTTGTAACAGCACACCAACTCAATATTTTCTTATGATTTCTAAATACAATTTATTGTTGTTATTTGATTCTTCTGTTTATCTTTGAGATTCAGAAGTGATATTTTTAACTGAAAGGGAAAGAACCCTTTATGTCATAGACATATGCACGTGTCTATAATAAACAATAAAGGCTCTGGCATCATACCTAAAGCACAGCATAATCAACCTTTACTGACCACTCTCTTTAAACATTTTATTTTGGGTTAACATATATTCTAGAGGAATGTATCTATTCCACTTAGCTCTACTTACTGTGGACATTCTATTGCCCCTGAGGAAGAAGCATTTAGTGGGCAGGGGCCGGAGAATGTGCGTGGCAGGTCATCATCCATCCCTGCCGTTCTTCTAAAGTCAGGAAGGCAAAGAGTCACTTATGACCGCCCCCCTTCCGATCTGATGGGAGAACCAAGCCGCCCTACGTGAGAAGGCTCTGTAGCTTTCGTCTATCATTAAGATCTTGCCTGATACTACTTGCCTCATGGGCTTCAGACACACCTTTTCTTTTCATTGCCATGAAACAGATGTTACTAATTAGAGCAGAGAGTGCAGGCAGCTTGCTCTGTGTCGGGCACTGCTCTAAGAACTTCCTGTGTGTGAACCTCATTGATTCCACTCAACAGCCATCTGAAGTATGTATATCCTCTTCCTTATCTTCATTTTACAAATGACGAATCAGAGGCACGGGATCAGTAACTTGCTCTAGACCTTAGAGGTAGCAAGTGGAGAAGCCAGTGCCAAACGGGGGTCTCAGAAGTCTAGCTGCACAGTTTCTACTCTAATCTTTTTCAGACCCCTGATTTTGGTAATAACACCAAGTCTTCCTTCTGCGAAGGACACCCGCGCAGTCCTGTCTCTTCAATATATATGGGGGCAGCAGAAAGAGTGGTCCTTCAATGCCTGAATTCAATGCACCCGCCCCCTAGAAGTAGAATAAGGACCCTCACTCAGCTCACTTACAACATTTAAAAACAAAAGATTGAATCCAAAACTAAACCACTGTCTATGTGGGAAGAATTTTCCGAGTTTCCTGAGCTACTTAGAAAGAATTCAAGATACAGAAATAAAAATAGCAATGGTCAACCACCTTCATAAATAGACTTTACTAGATAAAGTCAGCCAGTGCCCAGGCTTCCTCCAGCCCCCAAATGGGCAACCCTCCACCACCCACCCTGGCCTCAAATCAAACATTTCCTGTTGGGAGGGCAGCGGTGGGGAGGAAGTTCAAAAAGGACTGAATTCCCAAAACACAGGCTGCCTTTTTTTTTATAACAACAGGCCAGTGTTTCCAATAAATATTTGGGATGGCAACGTCAAGTTCTGCCAATTTGGCATCATGATTCTTGCTTAATTTACTATGTTATTTTTGAAATGATTTATTAAATAGACACTAGGAATTTGGGAGCATCAGCTTTTCTCATCAAAACCACTTCGTGTTCCTTGAACTGAGAGCAGACTCTTTCACAAGGACATCAAACCTCTGAGCTGGAAAACACCCCAGTGGTCATCAGCTCATTCACCCATGCAGCCTGATCGGCTGGGTGAATACTGGCTGGGAGCATCACGTGATGCACCTCACCCACGGTCACCTTCTCCAGCGTATCGTTCAGGGCATCCATCGTCTGTATTTTGGCAGCATTCGCAATGGCACTGTGAAGATGAAAAGAAACTTCACATAGAAATGGAAACTTTCCCACTAAAGAGGCTAAACCATTTTTACAGAGGGTTTTCTACTTGGCCTTTAAACTTTCATTCTGCTTGGCTACTTCTGGAAGACAGAAATAAAAATTTAAAAAGTCCTACTCTGTATGCCCATGTACTACAACGAGCTTTGCAGGCCAACTTATTATAATTAATATTTTAAAACTTTTCATCAAAGTACAACATGCATGCAGAAAGGTGCACATGTTATCAATGTGTAGGCTGGTGAACATTCACAAACTTGGAACACTAGTCAAACCAGTTGCCCCTAAGAATAATCATTACCTTGACTTACAGCCCTATATATTAGTTTTGACTTTATTTGTATATCATAAAATGTACCATACAGCAGGTACTCTTTTGTGTCTGGCTTCTTTTCTCGGGCCAAGTTATTTGCTAGGAGAGTTTCAATCAGGGCTGAGCTTACAGTGTAATTTCTTGAAGGGAACTCTGCGCTTGCCATACTTTTTTCTGGATGGTTTGTGTTGGTTAGTAGAAGTTATTGGGATATGGACACAGATTGATGATGCTCAGAAATTTATTTTCTACGCTATATTTTTCAAAAGCTATTCTCCTAGAAGATATAAGGAGGTGTTTGTCCACAAAAAGGAGGAAATCCTATCCATGCAAACACCCACAAAGCAGATATAAAGAGCAGAGGTGACTCATGGGGGAGCTAGGGAAGCTTCAGGGCCTCTCACTGCACAGTCTCCTTTCAAGGCCCTGGGAGGGACCCTAGCCATTTCATATTTGTAATTTTATATTATTTTTCCTTAAAATGGTCCTCCAATTCTATAAGATTCAGCTTCCACATACCTGTATCTATCCCTGGTAAACAGGACAAGAGAGCTATTTTTCTGCTGTTTTAAGTTCTGTAGCGGTCCAATTCCCATCTTTTAATGACTATTAGAAAGCAATTGAATTTTTTTTTTTTTTTTTTTTGCGGTACGCGGCCCTCTCACTGCTGTGGCCTCTCCCGTTGTGGAGCACAGGCTCCAGACGCGCAGGCTCAGCGGCCATGGCTCACGGGCCTAGCCGCTCCGCGGCATGTGGGATCTTCCCAGACCGGGGCATGAACCCGTGTCCCCTGCATCGGCAGGTGGACTCACAACCACTGCGCCACCAAGGAAGCCCTGAATTTTTTTAAGAGGGTTCCAAGCAGCACTTTATGACTCTCTAGGCAGCTCCTCTTCCTGCAGTGTTCACCTGATGTTAGAATTAACAGTAAGTCCCTTTTGCTGAGGCACAAAGAAATGGATGAACTGTCCATGGCTGCCAACTAGAAGGTCATTTCCAAGCTATGACTCTAGCTCCTGAGCCCCTGGCCCAGGAATGTTTACCGGTGTCACACTAAACAGGGCTTACACTTGAGTCAGGTTTTAGTGGCAGGATAGGTTTTTGAAGTTAACCGGCTGGCAATTCAATGACAGTGTAACGTCATTTACAGAGTGCTTTCTCTGTTCTAGGAACTGTCCTAGATGCTGGGTCAGGAGATAAATAATATGTGACTCCCACCCTTGAGGACTTATAGCTTTGCTTTAATTATGCGATAGTTATTTTCTGATTCAGAAGAAACAAAAGCTTAATGCCAAAGGGGCAAATTTTAAAAAATTGAGCTATAGGGCTTCCCTGGTGGCACAGTGGTTGAGAGTCTGCCTGCCGATGCGGGGGACACAGGTTCATGCCCCGGTCCGGGAAGATCCCATGTGCCACGGAGCAGCTGGGCCCGTGAGCCATGGCCGCTGAGCCTGCGTGTCCGGAGCCTGTGCTCCGCAACGGGAGAGGCCACAGCAGTGAGCGGCCCGCGTACCGCTAAAAAAAAAAAAAAAAAAACAAAAACGTTGAGGTACAGCTGACATATAATATTACATTAGTTTCAGGTGTACAACATAATGATTTGATATTTGTATATACTGCAAAATGAGCACCACAATAAGTCCAGTTAACATCCCTCACCATACATAAATGTTTTTTCTTGTAATGAGAAGTTCTAAGCTGTACTCTCTTAGCAACTTACAAATATACAATACGGTATCATTAACTATAGTCATCATGCTATAATTTCATCCCCAGGGCTTAATTATTTTATAACTCTAAGTTTGTGCCTCTTGATCTCTTTCACCCATTTTCTACCCCAGACACCAATCCCCTCTCCCCCCAGCTTTGGCAACCACTAATCTGCTCTCTGCACTTATGAGTTCGAGTTTTTGCTGTTGTTGTCCTGTTTATTTTTCTTCTTAGATTCCATATACAAGAGAAATCATATGGCACTGTCTTTCTCTGACTTATTTCACTTAATATAATGCCCTCAGTGTCCATCCACGTTGTTACAAGTGGCAGGATTTCCTTCTTTTTTATGGCTGAACAGTATTTCTCTGTTTTTTGTCTCTATACACTCTCTGTGTGTGTGTGTGTGTGTGTGTGTGTGTGTGTGTGTGTGTGTGTGTGTGTGTGTGTGTGTGTGTATCACATTCTTTTATCCATTCATCTGTCGATGGACACCTGGGTTGCTTCCATGTCTTGGCTACTGTAATAATGCTGCAGTAAATGTGGAGGGGCATGTATCTTTTCAAGTTAGGGTTTCATTTTCTTCAGACAAATACTCAGAATTGGAATTGCTGGATCACATGGTAGTTGTAGTTGTAATGTTTTGAGGAAACTCCATACTGCCTTCCACAGGGGCTGCACCAATGTGTATTACAAGCTATCAGTGGACAGAGGTTCCCTTTTTCCCACGTCCTTGACGCAGCTTGGTATTTCTTGACTTTTTGTTAATAGCCATTCTGACAGATGTAAGGTGATATTTCATTGTAGTTTTGATTTGCATTTCCCTGATGATTAATAATGTTGAACACCTTTTCATGTACCTGTTGGCTATCTGTATATCTTCTGTGGAAAAATGTCTATTCAAATCTTCTGCCCAGTTTTAAACTGGCTTGTTTGCTTTCCTGCTACTGAGTTGTATGAGTTCTTTATATATTTTGGATAGAGTATTTCAGTTTTTAAAATTTTAATTCTTATATTTTAATTTTATTATTTTTTATTATTATTACTTATTTTATTTTTGGCTGCGTTGGGTCTTCGTTGGGTCTTTGTTGCTGTGCGTGGGCTTTTCTCTAGTTGCGGCGAGCGGGGGCTACTCTTCATTGCGGTGCACGGGCTTCTCATTGCGGTGGCTTCTCTTGTTGCGGAGCACAGTCTCTAGGCACATGGGCTTCAGTAATTGTGGCGCACGGGCTTCAGTAGCTGTGGCTTGTGGGTTCTAGGCACGCGGGCTTCAGTAGTTGTGGCTCGGGGGCTCTAGAGGGCAGGCTCAGTAGTTGTGGCGCACGGGCTTAGTTGCTCCGCGGCATGTGGGATCTTCCCGGACAAGGGCTCAAACCCGGTCCCCTGCATTGGCAGACGGATTCTTAACCACTGCGCCACCAGGGAAGCCCAGAGTATTTCATTTTTAAGTAGAAAAATCCTCTAAAAGTTTCCTTCCCAGAAATTGAGAAGAAAACTTTTAAAGTGATCCAAAAAGTAATTTTATACAGAAAGAAAAAACCCACAAAAAACCCCCGAGAAATTCCATAGCCTATTTCCCTCCACACTTTCTTTCTGAGGCTGTTACCATTTTAACTCTTAAGGATGTATCTGAGCATCCTCTATTTCACTCCTTTTGAATCACTCATGAGCTCACCTATGGAAACCATCCTGAAATAGGCTCTGAAGCGCCTCTACTTGGAGGAGCTAGTTTCACATGTTCACTTCTTTTTGAAGGCACTATTTTTCTTACCCAAGGCATAGAGGGGCTGGGCCATTTGTACATGAGATCCAGCCCACGGCTCTCTGCTTAGCTCTGAGAAAGGTGCAGTGTGTCAAGTTTACTGCGGAAGGAGCAGGGAGAGAACAACCTCCGTATCCAAATTCCTTCCAGATGTGCCAAATACGGTGGCCATTATTTTCTAAATAATTGAGTGAGGAATTTAAAATAAAAGCACATTTATTTTTAATTCGGATTTGCCTCAGCGGAAAGCATATTACAAACACAAGGCCAGCTTAGGGACAGTACTTTAAAGGCTAAGGTGAAAATAAGATACAGGGATGTGAGTCCTGTTTGGATGCATTCAGGACCTTGCTTTTTAAGCAGGAGGCAGTTGCGCTGGCTGCAGGGAAGAGGAGGATGGGCAGAGAGAGTCCTCCAGAGGGTAGCTAACCCCCTCTCCGATGCTGACCCCCACCCCACCATGCCAGCTGCCTCTAACTCTAGTTAGTAAGTGCCTAGGGAGCCTTGGTTTGTCCTAAGATTCAGCGAAGCCTCTGACTTCTGGCAGTAGAGTCACTTAAAAATCAAGATGAAGAAGGGAAAGAAATTAAGCAGAGTCCCCTACCTTGTTTTCTCTAATCCTCTTTTCTTGGTGTGTCTCTCCAAGAGGCCGATTTCTTGTTTTTTGGAAATTCGCTTTCCTCCAGCTTTCACTATAAACAAATGAGCATCAACAAGGGAGTCATATTTAGGGCAGCAAGAGAAAGTTTGCTTTGTTATTCAAGGTATGAATTTATTGTAGATTTGAAGAATTTCAGGACTTTTCGAAGAGCTAAACTTTAATCTAAAACAACATAATCAAAAGGTACCCTGAACTAGCATAACAGAAGAAAAAAATATTTGGGGCAAACAAGGTGGGAAGGAGAGAAGGGCTAAGGTTTTTGCTTGTCTGTGTTGGGAGAGGGGGACCTGAGGCTAAAAAAGGCAGAGGTGTTTACACCTTCGATTTGGGGAGGAGATAACAATTTATTCCCTCAGGCATTTTACTGAAAAACATTTTTTCTTATTATCAAACCAATTACATTCTTCATGACAGCAACCGACAATTACAATGTGACCCTTCTGTTTTCCCACAAGATTAAAGTGCAAGGCTTGCAAAAATTTTTTTCAACCAAAGCTTTCAAAAGCTAGATTGAAGAATGAGCCAAAAGTTGGGGCATGTGGTGGTAACAGGCATTTAATTCAAGAGAGATGCTTCTGATCCCACCAGATGCCCACCTTCCATCCCAGACCCCAAACCTCCGATGTTGGAGGAGCTCAGATGTTCTAACGAGTAATTAAACTGCATCAATAATCCTGCCATTCCAGAGATCAATTAGTGTTAATTAGGCTACAGATGACCTAACAGCAATTCAAGTGTTTAACAATGTCAGATGAAATCAACTTTTGAAAAGGAGCAGCCCATTTCAGATTGCAAGTCAAAGCAAATACTTTTTTCTGTTCCCAGGAAATCTGCACATCTGAAATCTGACAAGCTCAAATGAGAAAAAGCTAAACGGACATTGATTTGTTTGAACCTAATTCTTTTTATGGAAATGTCAGATTGGCAATTTTCTAAAACTGGCTCCAATAAAGTGAAAAATAGGAAAACCTATTTCTCAATGCCCTCGTGAATTGACTTCAGCATTTTTCTTTTAAAATTATTATTTAATAAAATTTTTTGATTATGTAATAGTACATGCATAAGGCACACAATTCAAAAATCATGGAAAGGTCTGCAGTCTCCCTTCTACCATTATTTTTAGGCCTCCAGTTCATCTCCCTAGATACTGCTAACGTTAACAAGTCCCTATGTATTCATCGATAGACATTCTATACACATACCTATATATTTTATATATTTTAAATGGCAGCATACATTGTTCTACAACTTGTTTGTTTATACTTTTCATTCAGTCACGTACTTTGGAGTAAGTTCCCTATCGATATATATATAGAGAGAATATCTTTCTTTTTAACATCTGCTTTAAAATTTCTTTATTTGAACATTCTGTGTGTACTTAACCAATTTCCAACCGCTGGCCATTTTAGATGTTTCTAATCCATTGCTATCACAAACAATGCTGCAATGAATATCCTTTGCATATATATAATTTTGCACAAGTGCAAGTATATTCATGGGATAAATTCCTAGAAGTGATCTTGTTAATTCTTAAGAGTATGTGCATTTGAAATTTTGCTAAATCTTGCCAAGTCACCCTTCACAGTGGTTGCACCAGTTTACAATCTCACCAGCCACGATGACAGTGATTGTTTCCCTATACCTCAAGCAACAGTGAGAACTAGAAAATGTTTGGCTTTATCAACCAATAAGAAAAAGAAAGGTAATTTGCCTTTCTAATATTTTATTAAAAGTTGAGCTTATTTCTGTGTTTCAGAAGCCAGTTGTATTTTCTTTTATAAACTGTTCACATTTTTGGTCCATTTGTCCTGTTGGACTTCTGTTCCATTAACCTCTCTGTTTATATGCCATTACAACTTTATTTTAATGATTGTAGCTTTATAAAATATTAAAAAAAATTTTTTTTTTTGGCCACACCATGCATCATGTGGGATCTTAGTTCCCTGACCCGGGATCGAACCCATGGCCCCTGCAGTGCAAGTGCGGAGTCTTAACCGCTGGACCACCAGGGAAGTCCCTAACATGTTTTAATTTTGATAGTCCTTCTTTGCTACATTTTCTTTGCAGAATTTTATTAGCTATTCTTATTTATTTTTCCATATGAACTTCTGAATCAGTTTGTCAATTCCCTCCAAAATATCCTGCTGGTAGTTTTTTTTTTTTTTTTCTTGCGTTATGCGGGCCTCTCACTGTTGTGGCCTCTCCCATTTGCGGAGCACAGGCTCCGGACGCGCAGGCCCAGCGGCCATGGCTCACGGGCCCAGCCGCTCCGCGGCATGTGGGATCCTCCCGAAACGGGGCACGAACCCGCGTCCCCTGCAACGGCAGGCGGACTCTCAAGCACTGCGCCACCAGGGAAGCCCCCTGCTGGTAGTTTTTTAATGGTCTTGCTTTAGATTTATAGATTTTTTTTTAAAGGGAAAATTCGCATCTTTATATTCCTGGTTGCTCTCTATTCAAGAACATGGTATGCTTTTCCATTTTCTACATTTTCTTTTGGGTCCCTCAGTAACTTGTTCACATAAATCTTACACATTTATTGTTAGGTTTATTCCCTAAGTATTTTCTCTTTGTTGCTGCTGTTGTAGTTGTAGAGAGGGTCTATTCTTCCATTATAGCTTTCACAGATGGTTGTTCTTATATTAATATCATTGATTTTATACCCAGATCTTATTGAATTCTCTTATTATTTATAATATTTTTGTTGACTCCCTTAGGTTTCCCAGGTTAAAAAAACTTATATAATCTGCAAATAATTATAATATTACTTTCTCTAGAATAATATTAAATAGCGGTGATGATGGACATCTTTGTCATCCTAATTTTTAATGGATTGCTTTTAGTGTTTTCCCATTAAGTATGATGTATATACTTAGTTGGATATACACACACACATATTTACAATATATATAATGTATATTCAAATATGTTTCTTTCATCATATTAAGGAAATATCTTTCTATTACTGTTTCATTGGGCTTCAAAAATTACAAACACACGTTGAATTTTATCCAATGCCTTTTTATCATCATGTATATAATATGGTTTTTCACCTTAATGAGGTTAATTATATTAATAGATAAAAATTTTATAAATATATATTAATGAATATTTTACTATCAAACCATTCTTGTGTTCATGGAATAAACTCCACTTGGTCATTTTGAATCACCAAGTTTTTTTTTTATTGATTATAAAGGCATCTCACCAGACTTCTGTAATATTAGATACAGTCCAGGAAAAAAATCCTATTTTCATACATGGTCTGCTTTAAATTCACACACACACACACACACACACACACACACACACACACACACATGAAAAAAAGGCATACAAAATAATCAGCAACAGAAATGAAATAATGTGGAAACACCTTCTGAATAGCCCTGGAATACAGAGATGAAATAAACCAAGGGGTGGCTTTTTCTGGAAGACTGCTTGAGAAGGGTGTGCCACTGTATGAGGAGTGGTGTGGTTCACAGTCTCTTCTACCAAGCGGAATCAAATCACAACAGATCTAGACCTAGAGCTTGAGCCTTCAGTATCTCTCCCAGCAGTATCTTTCATCCTCCTTATGACAAACGCTTTTAAAACATGGAGTGCTGTAACTACTTTCCTATTAGTGTTCCTTTTGTTTTCTCTGATGCTTTTGTTTTTGCATGTTTTCTTCCACTGGTTATTATAGCCAACTATAGAAGCACACTTGTTATGGTTAAAATAAGCAACAGTTAAAAGTGAGAAGACCTTTGAAATGTTGAGCTCTGTGCCACTCATTTGAAAGAGCACAATTTAGAGAATGTCCAGATGAGAGCAACCAGAGTGAAGGAGCCGTGTCAGACAAGGGACTGGGAAAACTGGAAAGATGGCTTCTGAGGAAGCAAAGACTCAAGGGAAGCTTATGGTGCCATCTTCAAGGAGTTTAGGGGCTGTCTTGTGGAGGAGGAATGATTTACTGGTAAGGAAATGTTACCTAGGGTCAGAGAGCTCTACCCGCTCCTGTGCTCTGTGACCTTGGGCAAGATAAACTCCTCTGAGGCTCAGTTTCTGCGTCCTTCAAAAGGGAATAATACTGATTGTTTAGGTTGTCCTAGGGAATAGAGGTGACATAAGCAGCTGGCACATGGTAGGCACTTAATAATTAGTAGTTATTATTATTTCTATTTATGTTTTTCCAGAGGAGAGAATGGAAAGCAAAGAATGAAAGTTCCAGAAAGGCAGAGTCTGGCTACATATAACTGTGTTAAAGTGAGGAAGACTGCGTAATACAATAGTATATCTCTGGTCCCTTAGTGTGTTAAAGTAAAGAAAAGAAGTGCATCTGCCATGAATATTTTTAGAAGGATTTTGGGGAATTTGGTAGAAGTTGAACTAGATGATTTTTATTGTAAGGTCTTTACTATGATTCTAACTCTTCCCATCTACCTACAAAAGAAAATCTATCATGTCCCTCCCTTTTGAAAGGATATAGTGTACTCAGAGAAACAAATCCCAAAAGAAATGTAAAGAGAATGTAAAGGACTTCCCTGGTGGCCCAGTGGTTAAGAATCTGCCTGCCAGTGCAGGGGACATGGGCTCGAGCCCTGGTCCGGGAAGATCCACATGCTTTGGACCAACTAAGCCCGTGCACCACAACTACTGAGCCTGCACTCTAGAGCCCACGAGCCACAACTGTGGAGCCCGCATGCCACAACTACTGAAGCCTGTGTGCCTAGAGCCCACGCTCTGCAACGAGAAGCCACCGCAATAAGAAGCCCACACACCACAAAGAAGAGTAGCCCCCGCTCGCCGCAACTAGAGAAAGCCCGCGTGCAAAAACGAAGACCCAACGCAGCCAAAAATAAATAAATAAATTTATTTGTAAAAATCTGTAATCACTTACATAATTCCACGCTTAGGTCCTTTCAATACGCAAAATGAACTAGAGATTTAAAAATGTAAGAGAGAGATGTTTTGGATAGTTTCGTTAGAAAATCTACATTGATATGGAGAAAATGAAACTCTGCTTTCCTGTCTCTGAGTGAGAGGTATAATTTTGTGGCCACTTTTGTAGTTTATAACTTTTCGAAAGTTGACCCTTGAGTTTAGAATGCTATATTGCACAATTTTTCTTGCAGGCTTATCTTTCTTTATCTTAACTACCCTCTACCAAACACTGTGCAAGAGCTTCTTTCCTTCATTAATCAGTGGAGAATGTGTGTGAAAAAGCTGACCACCACAAAGGTTTGGGCAAACTCTGCCTTGTGACTTAGAACGTTCATTTGAAGATTTTAATTAAAAGGTTAGATGTTTGCAAAACGCTTACTTTGCATTCACTGTTGAGTTTTTGGCATATTCTAAACTGTCAGTCAAGACAAAAGACTCTCATCAGGAAAAGCAAGGAGAGAGGGCTTCAGAGGGAGAGGGCTTGACCTGGGCCCACTTTACTGTCACGTCTCTGCCCCTTCTCACCAGCTATGTGGCATTGGGCACGTCCCTTGACCTTGCTGACTTTCAGTTTGCTCCTCTGTGAAACAAGGATGAGGGTACATCATCAGTCTGCAGTACTGGTGCTGTGTCTAGAAGGCTCTGTGCAGTGCCAGTCACACAGGATTGAGTGAATAGCAGCCGTTCTTGTCATCAAACCCCTGTCCCTGTGACCTGTGGGGTAGTGGGTCTCGTAACCTCTCTGTTGAACCTCACAGATCAACTCCCAGAAGTTGACACGAGCAGACTGGAGTGGAGAGAATTAAGCCTCTGGTGTTTGCTTTTTAAAAAAACCATACTAGCCCTTCTGCAGCTATGGTTTCCTCCCCATTTTCTGCATTAGTTTCACCCTTGGGGATACACTCCCCAAACTTCCGTCTCTTTAATGAGCCAGAAAATGGATTCTCTCTGGGGGTTCTCAGTGGTGACCCCTTTGATGGCTCTGACTCATTTGCCTTAAAACAAATTAAAGTGCAAGGAATATACAAAAACTCATGAACTGCTGCTTTTTATGGTTCATACTTGGTTTCCTTGGATTACCTTCTACTCACACATTTTTTAATGTCCAGGTAATGGAGTTCTTAAAAACTGAGAGCGAGGCAAACCAAAGCAGCAGAAAATCCTTAGCAGGAAAGCTAAGCTTCCTAGAGCCCAGGCCGCCTCATGGTTAATGTAGTCTTGTTTCACAGCATAAATTTATAACCAGGATCCACAGAGGTACAATATATTATAGTAATATACATAAAAGAAAAACCACTAAGCACCCCCTATGTAGGTGGGAAAGTTACAGCTGGCTGACTCTGGAGCGGTTTCATTTTTAACCATGATGGAGCAGGCACAGGTATCTTTCCCACTGCAATTTTATTCTGCTCTGATGACTGCAATAGTGCCGAATGCAGCCTGCAAACATCAGGAGGTCTTGCAATTGAGGAGAATCATTTCTTTTGATGGCTATGTGTTTTACTAGGCCTGCATTGTACAGGGATTAACATTCATGTGCTGGGTACCTTACATAGGTTATCTCCTTTAATAGTCATAACAACCTTACAATATCAATGTTATTTATTACCGCCTGCTTTAGAGATGAGAAAACTGAGGCTCAGAGAAGTGGAAGGGAAGCGGGGTTTAAATCCAGGACTGTCTGATTCCAAAGGCCATGTCAGACCTTTCACAGACCTTTCATCATGTCTGTGTCCTACTTTCATGGACCTGTCCATTGCCTATAAAAATCAGGTGAAATTTAATGGAATTCTGGCAATGTATTATTTTTGTTCTATAAATACAATTTTGTACAGTAGCTATCTGGTTCAGACTTAAAATATATAGCGAGACAAGCTGAAGGATGAGGCTTCTTTGCTCCCTTGTTCTCAGTGGGGAGGCAAAAGTCTTCCTTCATCTCCATTCTAATTATCCCAAACCTCTTATCTGTAGTGTCACAGTTCATAATAATTAATTGTCATACCAGAGGCATTGTGACATGCTTGATGGCGTCAGGGTGGGCTATGTACACAGAGTAATTAGCAATCATTAGTGGCGGAGACAGAAAGTTCCCGGTGGTTTCATTCAAACTTTCACTTGGTTAAGTTTATCCCTGTGATCTTTGTGCATAAACGTCATTTAGCAAATCAAGTGTTAGCTGAACTGTTTTATGAAGGATTGGGGTGGAAGTGGCGGGAAGAGAATGGCGTTTTCTTTTGTCCTTGTGTAGAAACTTCTAATAATTTGCATCGATAGTTCTTGATCATTAATTAGCATAATAAATTTTAAATATAGATAATGTTAAATATTCCTAAATCCAATGACAAACATAAAAAGTCAGGAGTCTGCCACAGGAGACCAGGACAGGGTGCTGAGAAGTGGAAACTCAAAAGTAGTAGTAACAATTCTGACTTTGGCTGGGCTGCTCACCAGAAAGCCACTGAACCTTGTGTCCGTTTTTGATGCTTTGTGAAGTTTATACCTGCCATCACCCTCTGCAGCAAAGATGATTGAAATAACCTTGGCTTAGAGGAGCCAAAGAATGATACCAGTAAATAAATTTTGTTAATGGAGAAAGGCAAGAACAAAGAAAGAGGTCAAGTTGTTGAGGTATTTCTTAAGGAAAAAAAAAGAAAGGCAGTTAAAAGAACATCAAATCAGGGGCTTCCCTGGTGGCGCAGTGGTTGGGAGTCTGCCTGCCGATGCAGGGGATGAGGGTTCATGCCCTGGTCCGGGAAGATCCCACATGCCGCGGAGCGGCTGGGCCCGTGAGCCATGGCCGCTGAGCCTGCGTGTCTGGAGCCTGTGCTCCGCAATGGGAGAGGCCACAATGGTGAGAGGCCCGCATACCGCAAAGAAAAGGAAAAAAAAAAAAAAAGAGAACATCAAATCAGCTAAAAATAGGCCTGCATGCCTCAGCCAATCTATATGAACATATGGTTAAGTACAATAAAACTAATTTCCATATTCCAGGGAGTTGATATAAATAGCATACCTTTTTTACAAAAAGAAAAAAACTGTGGATGCTTTGCAAAATGCCTTGATAGCTACCTTTTCCAGTCAGCCCCTCCCACGCTAGTATCCTTATTAAAAAGTGCTCCTCAGCTTGGTGACAGACAAAAGACATTACTGATCACACTGCCCGACCCCAAAGCCTGAGAAGGGAGAGAAAAATTGGGTTGCTCTCTTCGGTGTGGAAGCTGGATTGGCTGGGTATGAAGTCGGATGATGTACAGGCATCTTCGGGAGACTGAGTCCGAAAGCTGGGACCTCTAGGGAGGAATGTTTCCATGGCAGTAAATTACCTTCCAGGTGTGAATGGGTCGCTGCTAACCTGCAGCCAGGGAGGGAAGGTCCAAGCTCACCACCTGCTCCTTTCCACCAGTGCCCAATCCCTTGTACTCCCACATAGAATTAGGTTTTCATTCAACTGGGCCTGACAAATCCCCAGGTGATTTTTACACAGAAGCCTAAAAGGATCAAAGACAGAAGGAACTCAGGTTGGAGGAAGTTAAAGGAACAAGGGGAGGTTGAGAGCCTCTGCTCTGTTGGGGCACCTCTGTGGAAGGCACAGCGTGGAAGGAGGGGCAGCAGCCGCCGAGGGGTCTTGCTGTCTGCAGGACAGAGGGTAGGTGGGCAGCCTACCTGCAGGAGGATGTCCCCCTTTCAATGCGGAGAGCTGGACTTGCACTTCACTTGCCATAGCGCGTGCCCGGGCCAGGGTCAGTGCCGGTGCTCTGGAGGCTGAGTGCGGCTGCCCCACTGCACCCTGGCTTTATATGGGCTGTGGGCGGGGTCCCTTAAGGGCTTTGCTGAGCAGCAACAGGGCTCGTCTTCTACCTTTTCTGGGAACCTACATTTTGGGGGCAAGTTTTCTCTTAGAAGAAAACTTTCTTATTACTCCCTTCATCTGAGAAGTCAAGGTAGACAGCTAAGGGGACTCTTTCTTTCACAGGATGAAGGGGAAAGGATCAAGCTCAGTGGAATTCTTTTTCTAACTATTTATCCATCGAGTTTGTATGGTGCATCTACAATGTGACAGGTTTTGTCATATACTCGCATGACAAGGAGGGCAAGACAAGATCTTTGCTTCAAGACATCAGTTGTTTTAATGAGGAGGCAATTATAAAACAAAGTGTGATGCCTTTGTCTCAGTCTTTGCAATTTTAAGCATCTATGATAAGAAAGTAAAATTGGGGATGTGCACAGAGATTTCTGCAAGGGATGGTAATCATATATTTCTCTCTCTCTTTTATTTTCTTTTTAGTATTGACTGGAATCCACATAAACACCCCCAAATAGAGAGGGATAGTTAAATAAATTAAGATATAGCCATGAGAGTACTATGTACTCATTACAAATTGTGTTTTTGAATAATATTTAATGATGTGAAAAATATTCATGATAAGACAGTGAAAAAGCAGGCTATAAACCAAAAGATGCCTGCTTTGTTAAAGAGAAAAAGTACAAATGTAAGCTTAGGCATTATTGTATCTCCAGTGCTATCAAAGTTCAGCAAAAGGCAGGTGCTTAGAAATGTCTCTTTGCTCTTCAACACAATTAAAAACTTCCACTCTTCAAAAGACATTGTTAAGGAAATGAAGACCAGCCCCAAACTGGGAGAAAATATTGGTAGAACTTATTTCTGACAAGTACTGGCATCTAGAATATATAAAGAACTCTTACAACTCAATACAAAGAGAACAACCCAATTTAAAAATGGGAAAAAGGGGCTTCCCTGGTGGTGCAGTGGTTGAGAGTCTGCCTGCCGATGCAGGGGACATGGGTTCGTGCCCCGGTCCGGGAAGATCCCACATGCCGCGGAGCGGCTGGGCCCGAGCGTCCGGAGCCTGTGCTCCGCAGTGGGAGAGGCCACAACAGTGAGAGGCCCGCGTACCACAAAAAAAAAAAAAAAAAAAAAAAAAAAAGGGAAAAAGATTTAAACAGAAACTCCATAAATAGAGATATTGACAACGTGTAAGCAAATAAAAAGTTGCTCAACATCATTAACTATTAGGGAAATGCAAATTAAAACCACAATGAGCTACACCACATATGTATTCATATTAGAATGGCTCAACTAAAAAAATTGGTAAAGATGCAGAGCAACTAGAACTCTCAAACATGGCTGATGGGAATGCAAATTGGTAAAGCCACCTTGGAAGTCTGGTATTTCACATAAAATTAAACATATACTTACTACATGACTAACAATTTAATTCCTAGGAATTTTCCTAAGAGGAATGAAAACATATGTACACATGAAAACCTGTGTGCAAATGTTTATAACAGCTCTATTCTATAATTGCACAGAGTTAGAAACAACCCCAAAGTCCATCAACTGTAAAATGGATAAACGGTGGTATATCCATAGAATAGAATACTACTCAGCAATAAAAAGAAATGAACAGATATTTGCAACAACATGGGTGAATCTCAGAAGCATTGTGCTAAATGAAAGGAGACTAAAAAAGCCACTTATACAAGTCTATTTATATGACATTCTTGAAAAGTCAAAATTACAGAACAGAAATCAGACCAGTGACTGCCAGAGGAGGGGGTGAGGAGAGAGTTTTCATCATAAAGAAGCAGGAGGGGAATTTTGGGCGTTGATAGAAATGTTCTGTATCTTGATTGTAGTGGTGGTTACATTCATCATACATCATACATACATCACACAACGGTGAATTTTACTGTATGCAAATTATACCTCAGTAAATAAAAATATCTATTTGTTAAATAAATGAATGCGGATACTCCAAAATGTTGAGTGGTTGTCTGTAGGTGAGAGTATCACCTGTTGAATTTTACTATCTTTTCTCAGTTTTTCTGTATTGTTTTTAAAATCAGTAGAAACCAATTAAATTGTTTTGGGGGGGAAAAGTATGCTATAGCATTGACCAAGGTAGGTACATGCTATGGGAGCAAAGAGAAGGGATTATCCAGGTCATAGGCAAACATTCTGTGAGTGGCCTTTCCTGCAGTGCCCTGGACTAGCAGCTGGGTTTCAGAGGTAACACTGCCCCTTCCTTGTTTTCAGAGAATCTCACGGTCTCGTGGGGGATGTAGAAGGTGAGGTGAGAAGGCTAAGAGGATTGCTTTGGTGATTGACAAGGGTTACAGCAGCAAGGTTCAGTAGAAATTTCTGTATCTGCTCTGACCAAAAGGGTAGGCACAAGCCACATGTGATGTGAGCACATGAAATGTGGCTGATGCAACTGAGGAACTGAATTTTTAATTTTAATTAAAATAATTTAAATATAAATAGCTACATGTGGCTTGTGGCTACTGTTTAGAATGGCTGCAGCATAAAAGCTAGACATGTGACTGTCGCCCAGATCTCACTGATTACCCTCTGCTTCTACAGGTTGCAGATGGCAAGGAGGACATCAAAGGGCAACCACCTCTTAGGAGAGTCTGTACTGAGGACAGCCCAACTGATGGGGCTAAAACATAATGCATGCCCAAGCGAGGAAGACTTCTTCTGAGCACATGCTGCTTTATTTAACCATGATGTCATATCAAATAACTTTCCTTTTCACCTCATTCATATGCAAAGCCTTCAAGAGTAGACATATGTTGTGAACCCCCATAGGGGGAGTTAGTAGGCAACATTTTCAGAGTTGTCTTCATCATGAAACCTTTGTTCGCACGGCTCTGAATAACAACTCTTAGAGGTCGTGCTATTGAAACCCAAGTAGGAAAACTCTGATCTAAGGTGACGGGAGTGATGGTGTTCAGGAGGTGATGGTGAAAGAGAAATAACCGAGGAAACAGAAGAGTTGGTTAGAATCCACAGGGCATCCTCTATTCTCCCAACACTACACATTGAACATGAGCCTCATGGAGTAATAGGTAGTAGGCTAACTTTTGTTGTTCCTTTTACCCCAACATGGAAAATAAGTATAAGTTAATAACATGACTGTAAATGAGGATATATAAAAGACAGCATGACCTCTAATGAGACAAACAACTGTTTTACTGTAGAAACATCCATAGAGGAGGGAGAGAAGGAAAAATGAGGCCACCGTGGTTTTCCTCCTGGGTTGCCCCTTCTAGCACGTTCCTCCCCACTCTGCCACCATCTGCTTCCACAGGAACAGGAGGCCCAGAGTCTCAATCCTGACTCCCTTGGTGCATGTGTACCCCACGGGGTAGCCCTCTCAGGGGGTCGGGCTTCCTTGCTCTGTCTTATATTAGTCACTGAAAGTCCAGCCCTGTTTTGCACACAGTGAGGTGAGTCGGATTATTTACTTTGGGGATATACTAGAGCCTCCATTAGGATGAAAGTCTCATCCAAAGAAAGCAATATGTTATTACCCTTTAAATGGGCTTGTAAACCTCATTTTAAGAGAGGCATTAGTCTAGTTAACTGCAGGGAGAGAGTAGTTCATGCTAGGACCAAAGTATTTGGGATTATGCTTCGTAACGCTAAAAGCCTAATAAAATGGCTTCTCAGGATGCTGAGGTTGCCAGAGAGCTTTCTGTCTTTTTGAAATGAAAGGACAATATGACACTAAAGACATTAATAATATTTTAAGATTATACAACACTTTCATCGTATAGTACTTTCTTCTTTTAATTTGTGTGTGGGGAGCCCTTATTTTATCTTCTTCAAGCACTAGCAGCTTTGTAGTCTGTATCTCATGTTTATATTTTACTTCTTTTTCTTTTAATATTACTTACATACTGCATCTAATCCCCAGGCATGATCAGCAAGAAAGCTAACCAGGAGGCTGGTGACTTTCACGTGAGAGGGTGTTTTAGAGGGAAGCCCCCCGCAAGCGGCCCTGTCCGGTGTTTTGAAAGATGTCTCTGGGCTTCCGGTGCCTGCCTGGGCTCACCAGCTTCCTTTGTCTGTTTTTAAGAAGCAGCATGCCTTCCTCTCCCCTCTCTCTCCAAAACACTGGGCTTTTCATCTCCTCCAGGCACATTTTTAATTCCTGGTATTCTTCAGTGGTAAACTTGCTCTGTTTTCTCTCTCTACTTGTCAGACCCGAAACAAAGAGTCCACGAATAATTGAGATGTATGTAGGGATCTTTCTTCTGAATTGTCACACGGACACACACCTTCGCAGATGGGGGATTTCCCCAGCAACAAAACAAGTCTTGGCTCTGTGTGCAGGATGGCATAGAGGCATAGATCTGGAGTGAGTCGACCTTGATAATGAGGTAAACAGTGAAGAGCATACTTTCTCTTGCCTTGGGCCTTGAAGTTTTAGTGGTAGGTGTTGGAGCAAAGAGGCAGACAGTCTTCATAAGAAGACAATAATAGTGACTTGTTTATAGAAGCACACTTGAGTAGATAAGTGAAAACACCTATTTCTGCAACCCCCAAACTTCCCCAATTCCAAAAAGGTAAAAATGTAGTTAGCCCATTTTATAGGTGGGAAAAGGCCATGAAAAGAGATAAAGAGGGGCAAATTAGTTGTTATATATTATTCAATGGCAGAGAAATGATTGGAAGCTTCTACTGATCCACTGTTGGCCTAATCTTTATTATTGTTCAGGTGCTTGACGTGACCATCAAGCATCTGAAAAGTCCTACTGGGAATCTGTATCACACACTGGGGTAAGCAAACAGCCCAACAGCAGCATTACTCTGAGCAGCAGATGCTAGTAATAGGTTATACATCACAGGGATGAGTGGTCCTTCCATGTGTTAGAAAGTTCCAGGTAACAAAGATTCTGAAAGAAGTTCTAACTGTGGCCAGACTGGCCATGGGAAAGAGATGCCTTGTGGCGTTGCCAG